TATATATATATATATATACATGTATATATATATATACATATATATATATATATATATATATATATATATATATATATATATATATATATATATATATATATAAACCAATAACACTGTGACTAGCCAAGGACTCGAACCCATGTTGTTTTGGTCCACCTCATGATGAGCGAAAGCACACTTCACCCTAACCCACAGGACTACGCAATATATAATGTGTGCATGTACGTGAATGCATGTGTTCTTGTGTATATGCATGTATGTACAGTTTTGTGTACATGCGCCATTGGCACAAAAAATATATATTAACATCCGTGGGCCCAGACTGTTCAACACACTACCACATATCAGAAACAACTGCCGGAGGAAGTGTAGAAGTCTTCAAGAGAAAATTGAAGTGCCAAGTGCCAGATCGACCAGGCTGTGATGGGCATGTGGGCCATCAGACCACCGGCAGTAACAGCTTGGTTGATTAGGCAAACACCAGACAGGTCTGGAATAAGTTCAAGCTGCGAGAGTAGATTAGATTCTCGATACCCTCGCAGTGTATTTCAAAGTTAAGGTATGCATACAAGAATATATACTGTTTATACATGTGTGTTCTTGTGTTGATATTGTGCGTATTTATATATGAACTCTTGTGCATATGTTTGTGTGTATATGTGTACTTGATGTGCAAATGTATACCTGTGGCTACACGTATGTGTGTGCTTATGTATACGTATATGCATGTATGTGCATATGTATATGTAACTGGGCAGTGATGAAGAGTGACTTTCTAAAATTATATATGAAGATCCGTGTCATTGGTCCGAGTGCATAAAAATAATTTTCTTCAGATTGTTTTTTCCCTGTTTGTCTTCAGACCATGATAATAAAAGTTTGAAGCCGATCGGAAAGGGCATTTTTTCCATCAATTGCTCTAAAAGCAACAATTCCATTTTTTAATGTCCAGTTAAAATTTCAAATTTGCACGTACTGGGACTAAACTTAAGGAGTAACATCCTTATAGAGACGGCATCGTCAATAATTCTGAGAAAGCAGTCAGAAGAAGAAGAATTCTTGAGTTATTAAAAAAAGAAATGTCATCATATATTCAATAAAACTGGCAAATTGGAACTTCTACTCCAGTAGTGAAGATTTGAAACCGATCAGACGAGTCATTCTCCAGTTATGGCATGGATTCCAGCGGTACCAATTCTTGTTTAACTATTTTACTACAACAAATTTGCATCCACGCAAACAAAACTTAATTGTTAATATCTTGGTTGTAAGATGCGTCAGCCATTAAATATGAAAGCCGTTCAGAAGAAGTAAACTCAAATTTACTTACCATAATTTAACGTAAATGGAAATTTCAAACTATTTTAAGCATAAACTTGGTCAAAATCTACGTCAACTTACTTGAATTCCACTCACAGCTGTCATCAAAGTAGGAGTCACTTTGTCTTTGAATGTTTGAATAAGCTCCGCCACTGAGAATTTTGCAGTTGTATAGCCCTTGTGGCTTAGCGCTTCTTTTTGATTATAATAATGAGAATTTTGCGAGTTATCCCAGCCATCCCAGGATGCCTGGAGTGGGTGCATCAGCTTTACACACGGGGCTGCATGTCAACATACCAGTTGTTCCAAGAATCTGGTCCTCGTTACCGTACACAAGTGTTGAAAATTTGAAGCCGACTGGATGAGATGTTCTCGAATCATGAGCATAATAAGAACGGAAAGTTGGAGGGGAAAAAATTGAAATTCAGACGACCTCTTAAAGACCTGGCTATGGGCATACCTAAATACACGTATGCATGATTCATACGTTCCTAAATTCATGATTCATACACTCCTAAATGCATGATTCATACGTTCCTAAATGCATTATTCATACGTTCCTAAATGCATTATTCGTACGTTCCTAAATGCATTATTCATACGTTCTTAAATGCATTATTCATACGTTCTTAAATGCATTATTCATATGTTCTTAAATGCATTATTCATACGTTTTTAAATGCATGATTCATGTTCCTAAATGCATTATTCATACTCCTGAATGCATGATTCATACATTCCTGAATGCATTATTCAGACGTTCTTAAACGTATTATTCATGCATTCCTGAATGCATGATTCATACGTTCTTAAATATAAGCTCACATGTTCGTAGATATTCCCATGTATTGGACATGATTGCACGGATATACACATACATGTACTTATATCTATAGAACTTGCATACATACATGTACATAAATCCATAGAACATGCATGCATATAAGTAGGTTTATACACCATCTCAGTGACACCCACTCACATTCCCACACCACCATCAGCTCTCGCCCACCCACGTCCCCACACTGTCCACCCACACCCCAACACCGCTCCAGGCCTAATGACCCATTACCTAGAGGGCGCAATATGCTACCGCTCAACAGAGCAGGTCTGCAGAAGGCGAGGAAGGGAGAATGTATTAATTAAGGCGGACAGAGTTGCCAGATGTCCTACACTGGAGACGTAGGCAGCAGCAGCAATACTAACGTCCAGGTGTTGCAGGATGAGGCAGGTGTCATCCCTTATCCAGGCCAGAGTTAATACTCTTCATGCCAACGTTAATGTTCTTCTATATTTGGGTTTTAAGCTTTTTTCATAGCGGCCTGGGTGTCGTTGTTTATTTGTAATCTAGAGGGTCTAGGACTCTAGGTATTACAGTAGCAGTGACGTGATCGTGGTGGGTTACAGTCTTCTGTAATGAATATAAATACAGAAGTGGCACTGTGTTCGTGGTTTCTATTGTTGTTTATAGTAATTACAGTAGTAGTGTTATGGTAGTGTTCTTCATTGTAGGTACAGTCGTAATGACTTCGTTGGCTTGCGGGCAGCCAGCACCATCAACCTGTCTGTCACTAGGTGTTTAGCAGCTTTCCATGATTGATAATAATTTATGGAGCTTCTCCTCGACGTAGGCCTCCTGCCCATGATGATGTAAAAATACCTTTTATGATGTATCTCCCTCTTTCCCTCCCTGTCTGACAGGTAAGTCGACCTTTCCTTGCCTTCATCCTTACCCATTATACTCATTATCTCGATCTCTCTTACCTATAGCGTACACCATCAATCAACAATATGATGTGTAAAGAGGACAAGTTTCAATTGCTCCTCTGTGGAAGAATGGAGGAAATAAAGACTAACGGAGTACAGGACAAATTCATGGGCGAGACTTAGTAGCAATGATGAGCGAACTCGCAGTCAGGGATCAGAACAATGTTGCCAGTGTTACCTCATAAAAATGGATACGCTAGATTACTAGAATTTTCAAGAGAAGTGATGCTGAGGTAATGATACTGTTCAAGTTATTTGTTCTCTCCAGTTGGGAATACTGCTGTATACTGATGGCCCCTTCCAAAACAGGCGAGATTGCTTAACTGGAAAATGCACTGAGAACTTTCACTGCTTGCATACACTCAATAAAGGAACGTAAGCGAGAGAGGTACATAATGTACACGTGGAAAATCCTCAAGGGACTGGTTCTAAACCTGAACACCAAAATCACTCTTTATGACATGAGACCTGGCAAACGGTGCAAAAAATACCTACCTGGAGGCTACCTGGAGGGCATTCCGGGGATCAGCGTCCCCGCGGCCCGGTCCACGACCAGGCCTCCCGGTGGATCAGGGCCTGATCAACGAGGCTGTTACTGCTGGCCGCACGTAATCCAACGTACGAACCACAGCCCGGCTGATCCGGCACCGTCTTTAGGTATCTGTCCAGCTCCCTCATGAAGACAACCAGGGGTCTTCCCGTAATGCCCCTTATTGCTGGTGGGAGGCTGTTGAACAGTCTTGGGCCCACTAAAAAGTGGCGCTACGAATACACTGAGAGAGAACCCCATGAGTATCAGAAGTCCCCGATTCTTCAACGCCGTCCCTTCATGTATACAAGAAATTACCGTCTAACCTTCTGACGGTCTTCAAGAGGGAACAGGCAAATCAGTGCCTGACCGGCTGGGCTGTAGTTCCTACGTCGGACTGCGTTCGGCCAGTACTTAGTCAGGTTGAACACGCCTTAATACTCCAGGAGGCCAGGTCTGAGACAGGGCCGCTGGGGCATTGACCCCTGAATCATTCTTCAGGCATCCTTTAGGTGTCCCGCCTCTCTTTTCCGCTAACCTTAACCATCTTAGCAAGTCTCTTGCTCCCTTACCATTCCTTGCCATTCAGTGAATCATCTTTACCTTTCCTTGTATTCATCAGCCTACTTATATTCTTACAAAATCTTCAGAACACTCCTGATGGTATATCCTGTTCCTCTTATATAACATCTAATGCATCAAATTTCCTCATTCTTTACAAACAAGATATAACAATGCTCCGCTAGAGCAGTTTTTGTTATATTACTGGAACCTTATAAAACAAAAGTAACATGACTATTCCACAAATTTTAAATGAAAACTGGACAACATTTAGGTCATCATCAACTTTTTCTTTTTGGGTCTTCATCAACTTGTCACATGATGATGATCCAGTTTTTATTACGAGTTTGTTTATTGTTGAAGGTTCAAACGGAATTACAGATAGATATAATGTTACTAAAGGTACACTGTAAGTTAGTGGTGAGCTATTTATCATCTTTGCGTTGCAGATCTCCGTCGGTACTTCGAGGCACTGCTAGTAAGGTACTCGAATAGTCAATATTAAAACAAGTAGCCACTACATGCTATAAATAACTTTTGTGTTTTGAATCTGCAACTCTTGTTTCGAGAAGAGAATGCTGCTAACATCTTTGTGTTGCAGAGCTGCATCGGTACTTCGAGGTAGAGCTGTTAGGGTGCTTCGAGGAGTGGCCATTAAAACACTTCATGTAGTCTTCATTAGTAATGTCATCTTTTTGTGTTGCAGATCTGCGTCGATACTTCGAGGAGCCACCATTAAGGTACTTCGAGGAATCGCCATTAAAACACTTCGAGTAGTCTCCATTAGGATACAGGCGAGTAATGTCATCTTTTTCTGTTTCAGATCTGCGTCGATACTTCGAGGAGCCACCATACTCACAGTCGGTGCCACTGGAGCAACATGTTGAGCTACGTTGCCTGCCTCCCTTGGGTCGGCCTCAGCCTACCTCCACCTGGCACAAGGATAACCTCCCCATCGACTTCAACCTCCACCCCAGCTACAAGTGAGTCCAGTCCTCCTTTGCACGGGAATTTTTTTTCAGTGTGTTGGTGGCCTCTTGTATGATGAGAGTCGTCGTCCCTATTTTCCACTCTGCCTCATTAAATATTTCCATTGCCTTCCCTTCATCCATCCATCCCTGTTTCTCTCATTTCTTTCTTTTTTTGCCCCCCACCTTTTCCTTCTTTCCATTCTTCTTTCCCTTCTCCTACTTTCCATTCTCGCCCGCCTTACCTCCATTCCCTATTACCATTGCTACACTCGACCCCACTTAGCAGGCCATACCTGAACTGCTGCAATTTGAGGTTACGAGAAGCCAGTAAGCAACATTCATATGGAAAATAGCTTGTTCCGTAGCTCAGAAAGTTGACTCTAATGTGTACTATTGTTATGAATTATGTGTTAGGCTCTAACCCTGTGCATGTTGCCTTCAGTATGTTTACGCTCCACACTGTATATATATATATATATATATATATATATATATATATATATATAATATATATATATATATATATATATATATATAAATAATATAGTAATTGTAACCAGGAACGAGTGGTATTGATCAATAACAACACTGCGACTAGCCAAGGACTCCAACCCATGTTGTTTTGGCTCACCTCATGGTGAGCGAAAACGACATGACGTTTTAACCCGCTGGACCACCAAATCCTACTGGGTGGTTGATTCTTGTAGGATTTGGTGGTCCTGTGGGTTAGAGCGTCGTGTGATTTTCGCTCACTGTTACGACTTTGATGTCTTAACGTAAATAAAATGGTCCTGGCACTGAAATACACAGCAAACCTTGTGCCAGCAAGGAAGAACAAAAACTCACTATTAATATAGATATATTTTTATATAGGTAACTTATATAAAACTTATAACTACTACAAAAAAACACTACACTCCAGTTCACATTAGCTCACTAGCACACTGCTACTAATAAACTGCTACTAAATGAACATTTATGAACAGGGAGGCTCCATGACACCCCAGCCTTTCTGCAGGCTACTTAGCCTACAGTGGAAACGTTAGTCTCCAAAACACAGGACCCTGCATACTAGAGCTTTACAGATAAACACGAAAACACTTAAACATAAACATGTATGCACTTAAAAACTTGCCAAAATTACCTACTGAAACTAACACCAACCCAAGACTACTTCACCAAGCCTCCTTCCTACCCATACTGAGCTAAAAAAAACATCTCATCTGCTCCTGTCCTGGCCACTGCCTGACCGACAGGAATAAAACAAGATCACTTTCAGGGAATAATACACGTCCGCTTCCAGTATACTACACGGAAAATGACATATATGGAGCGTTATTTTATATATAAATATTTTAATGCAGGACTCCGTAAGATTATGTATATATATATATATATATATATATATATATATATTATATATATATATATATATATATATATATATATATATATATATATATAATATTAATAAAATATTCCTATTGGTAAAAAAAAATATATTAAAAGATGGGGTGGTAGGGGAAGTGGAATATTCAAACGGCTTCAGGAAGAAATCCAAATATTCTTCCTTGAAGCTTTTTTATCCACTTCTCCGAGGCTATGGGTCCCACAATTTACACCAGAGGTGGACCCAATAATATATAATAAATATATATATATATATATATATATATATATATATATATATATATATATATATATATATAATGTCGTGCCGAATATGTAAAACTGGTCAATTAGCAAGAACTCATTTAAAATTAAGTCATTTCTAAAATTTTCTCTTATACGTTTAAAGATATATTTTTTTCATTAATGTTGATGTAAAAATTTATAATTTTGCACTAAAAGGAACTTAGAAAACTTACCTAACCTTATTAAAACAAGCGCAATTTATTTTAGCCTAACCCAACTAAATATAATTTAGATTTGTTTACAATAATTTAATACTTAACAAACACAGTGAAATATATTTTTTTTCGTTAGGTTCAGAATGATTTTGGCGAAATTATTGCATACACAAATTTTCACTTGTCCTATATCGCAAGATGAGCATTGCTATTTAAGCCAAGACCGCAAGTTCTGCCTATTCGGGACGACATATATATATATATATATATATATATATATATATATATATATATATATATATATATATATATATATATGCAATAAGATCACAGTAAACAGGTGATTTCAGAATATGCAAAACAACCACTCCGAAAGAATAGAGAAATTCCAAGCGCTTTCGTGACTACTCACATTATCAAGGAATTTCTCTATTCTTTCAGAGTGGTTGTTTTTGCATATAATATATATATATATATATTATTTTTTTTTTTTTTTTTTTTTTTATTATCACACTGGCCGATTCCCACCAAGGCAGGGTGGCCCGAAAAAGAAAAACTTTCACCATCATTCACTCCATCACTGTCTTGCCAGAAGGGTGCTTTACACTACAGTTTTTAAACTGCAACATTAACACCCCTCCTTCAGAGTGCAGGCACTGTACTTCCCATCTCCAGGACTCAAGTCCGGCCTGCCGGTTTCCCTGAATCCCTTCATAAATGTTACTTTGCTCACACTCCAACAGCACGTCAAGTATTAAAAACCATTTGTCTCCATTCACTCCTATCAAACACGCTCACGCATGCCTGCTGGAAGTCCAAGCCCCTCGCACACAAAACCTCCTTTACCCCCTCCCTCCAACCCTTCCTAGGCCGACCCCTACCCCGCCTTCCTTCCACTACAGACTGATACACTCTTGAAGTCATTCTGTTTCGCTCCATTCTCTCTACATGTCCGAACCACCTCAACAACCCTTCCTCAGCCCTCTGGACAACAGTTTTTGGTAATCCCGCACCTCCTCCTAACTTCCAAACTACGAATTCTCTGCATTATATTCACACCACACATTGCCCTCAGACATGACATCTCCACTGCCTCCAGCCTTCTCCTCGCTGCAACATTCATCACCCACGCTTCACACCCATATAAGAGCGTTGGTAAAACTATACTCTCATACATTCCCCTCTTTGCCTCCAAGGACAAAGTTCTTTGTCTCCACAGACTCCTAAGTGCACCACTCACTCTTTTTCCCTCATCAATTCTATGATTCACCTCATCTTTCATAGACCCATCCGCTGACACGTCCACTCCCAAATATCTGAATACGTTCACCTCCTCCATACTCTCTCCCTCCAATCTGATATTCAATCTTTCATCACCTAATCTTTTTGTTATCCTCATAACCTTACTCTTTCCTGTATTCACCTTTAATTTTCTTCTTTTGCACACCCTACCAAATTCATTCCACCAATCTCTGCAACTTCTCTTCAGAATCTCCCAAGAGCACAGTGTCATCAGCAAAGAGCAGCTGTGACAACTCCCACTTTGTGTGTGATTCTTTATCTTTTAACTCCACGCCTCTTGCCAAGACCCTCGCATTTACTTCTCTTACAACCCCATCTATAAATATATTAAACAACCACGGTGACATCACACATCCTTGTCAAGGCCTACCTTACTGGGAAAAAATTTCCCTCTTTCCTACATACTCTAACTTGAGCCTCACTATCCTCGTAAAAACTCTTCACTGCTTTCAGTAACCTACCTCCTACACCATACACTTGCAACATCTGCCACATTGCCCCCCTATCCACCCTGTCATACGCCTTTTCCAAATCCATAAATGCCACAAAGACCTCTTTAGCCTTATCTAAATACTGTTCACTTATATGTTTCACTGTAAACACCTGGTCCACACCCCCCCTACCTATATATATATATATATATATATATATATATATATATATATAAAATATATATATATATATTATATATATATACACACACACACATTGGAACCTCGGCTTAAAGAGTGCCTCACCATGTAAGTTTTTCAGGATACGAGCTCGGTCGATTGTTTGCTGTATACGAGTGAAATTTCAGGATGTGAGCGGGCCTCAAGGGAGGGTCCTTGATGCTGGTCAGGGGCTCTTGTTCTTGATCTAGGGAATTGGATCTGTGCGCCAGTTTCCTAAATTAATAATAATTACCATAATATGTACGTACTAATAAATAACAATAATACGTATAATATAATTATATAATCTACATAATATAAATTATAATATGTACATACTAATAATAATACTACGTAAAATATAATATGTATAATAATAATATACTATAATTATAATAATACTGTAAGTGAGTTCCAGAACGCCACCACCAGATGGCATAGTATCAAAACAACGCTGAGTGTACGTGTGCTTCTCGTGTTTTCCTTACGTTATTTTGTGAAATTTCGTGTTTCTAACCATGGGTCCTAAGAAAGCGAGTGCAAAGGACAGTGCTAAGAAGAAAAAAAAGGATGATTTCCCTGAAATTAAAGCAGGAAATCATAGATAAACACAAACTAAGTTCGAGGGTTAAGGACATGGCCAGGCAATACCAGCTTACCACTTCTAGGATATGTACAATACTAAATAAAGCAGAAGGAGTGTTTCCAGTGGTCATGCGTTGCAGCTATTTAATGGCACTTGCATAACTCATTTCCAAAACATTCTGAGAGGGAGTAAGAAACAAACCTTACAGTTTATTGAAATGCCCTGCAGATGACAGTGTGAAAAGCATGGAGAAAAAGCCAAAAGTCAGTGAATAGTGAAGCGATCTAAAAAAAAATTGTAGCAGTTAAGTTCAGTGACAAAGTGTAGCACTAAGAGTGTAGCAATTATGTGTAGTATTAAGAGCGATAGAAAAAGGACGAAACGAACTCATGACAGCATACGCCGCTGTGCCCAGCATTTCTTCTCCACTATCAACTGCCAACATTTCTTCTCCAAAGTAAATGCTGTAGTACTACATAATTTCTTTATATTGTTTTCCTTATGAAACTACATAGTGATCTAATGCAGTTTGCCTCACAAACACTGTTTTCTGTTATAATAAGAGCATGGGAAGGTATGTAGTCAGTAGCAGGAATGGCCACTGTGGTGGCCCTATAAACC